GGGGTGCAGGGGTGCGCACACGCATTGCATTATTGGTGCAGGCGTGCTAGCGTTGTTGCACATGCATACACTTTCAGCATGCAACAACAAAAAAGATTTAGCCATTACTGCCCTATTCCATGAAATGCATTGGTTGCCAGTTAGCTTATAAGTGCAATTCAATGTGCTGGTTACCATTTACAAATATCCTTCAAGAATTAAAGTCTGGCTATCTGAGGGATAGCCTATTTTCAATCATTTTGACATTGTGTGATTGGACAAAATTGGCATGCTTTGGGTTCATCAATTAAGCAAGGTCATCTGATGATCATCTAGAAAGTTTACTCTCTGGAACAGCATTCCTGAAGAAATCCATATCACCCTACCTTGCTTATTTTTAATAAGTCTTTGAAATCAGTTTTTCCTCCACGTCTTAGATTCGGGTGGATAGTGAATTTCCTTTTGGGACCAATGCTGCTACTTTTAAAAATTATTTCCTATTTTTAATATTATACATTGCCTCTGTGTTTGATAGATACATTTTATCCATATATACCTTAACTGGCTATTAGAAGACATGATTTTTAGCTATTAGTCAAAACCTGATATTCAAAGTCTCCCAACTTAACACATGAGGGCGTCAATCAGAACTTCCTCGAATTTGGATAATAAAGCAAATATAGGTTCTATTTTTAAAAAAAAAATCCAGAAGCTTTTGCTTCTCTATTTTGACTTTTTCACGGACTATTCACAACTTCAGTCAGACCAGTTACAACTTTATCACATTTACTCTGATTTGTGAATTTAGTCTTATGTCTTGCTGGCTTGTTGATCTACTGTTAAACATTTGTATATACATTTCTATAAATAAAGTTAGGCAATTCTAAATTATTGCACATATAAAAATATTAAGCCTCTATTCTTCAGCATTTGTCTAAGCCTGGCGTTATGCATTACATTAAGACAAGAAGGAAAAAAGACGAATCTGAAAAAAAAAAAACTTGATTTTATTCTAACTTAGTTAAAAACTAATATAGTAACATCTTACCTATAATGCTTTACAATAGATGGCTCTACATGATATTCTGAATCATAAAGTAACCAATCATATTTTAGCCTGATTTGTCATGTGAACCCAGCTGATATGGTTAGCTGATGGTTCCATTACATCATACAAATATAGAAAATAGGGTTAACTAAGTAAATTATGTGTTTCAATAAGTCATTGGTAAATGCATCGTGTGAACACAATCATTTCATTAAAAATGCTTGGACAAACTATCTATAGGAAAGAAATAGTACTTTATCCAACTGAACAATGGAAAAAATTGCCACATAATGAAGTTTGCATTAGGTTTCCACATGTTTTACTTTCAAGTCTAGAAGGCGCTGGTATCAAACTGTGAAAAAGGAACTGTCCTTTTTCTATTTGTCTCATTTAAAGGCAAAGATCTAAACTAAATGTTACACATCTTCATGACTAAATGGCTATTTTTCCAAATGAAAAACAAACCTTAAATATCACAATCTGGAGGTAAGAAATGTGAGTGCTTGTTTTTCCCAGTCTCACTGATAAAATATCAAGATTTTACATCACATTTTTTAATTTATTCAACATATTTAAAGTCTGCTTTTCAAAGATCTAACCTTAATAATAAAGGTTTCAGACAATAAAGGTATAAAAACATTTAAACTTTTATTGAAAAACTGTACTGTCATTCAGAAAGTAAAAGTAAATTTGAAGTTGAAAGAACTTTATAAACCTTCATTTAAATACTTCTGCTCTCTTTCTATTCCTTTGCAGCCAACTGCCCAATTCTAAGGCTATTTTTCTTTTTCTAAAAAAACAACAGATATTAATGCATGCATTTAATGCCTTCAATTTAGCACATTCTCATGTACCCTTGCATATATTCATAATCTGAAGAGATTGAAATTCAGTTCACAGCTCAAAGCAAACTATTCTCTTGCTCTTGTTTTGTATTTGTCATTTTTACAATATTTTGAAGCATTTTGTCTAAAAATATTGTTCTTCATTTCAAACATCCAAGCTAAACAATATAAAATGCAATGTCAGGATAAAGCTTAATCTGATGTTTTGTCCCTTTTAGCTCAATAGACTGTTGACAGTACAAGGTAAGGGCTGACAGTAATGGATTTGATAATCAGCACCATATCTTTAATAATTGAAATGTTGTTAGCTCTACAGACAAGTAAGATTGGTTTTAGCACATCGATTTTTAAGCTGGCAATGATCATTTAAACAAGCAAGCAACAAATCATATACCAGCTATAATTCTTATCTTGCAGTTTACTGTAAAGAAAAGGACTGTCAGATGCCCATTCTTTCCAAAGCAGTCTAATGGCCAAAAAAACTTGGCCACAAAGCAGAAATCTCTATCCAGCAGTTCCAGAAAGTCTTTAATATTCCAATCAACAGGTAGCCTTATATGCTGAATCCTTAAAACCCCACTGCAGGCCCATTCCACATAACATTGCCTAAATGAAATTTGCCTAGCAAATGCTTTATTGCAGGAAATGGTCTGTGCATGTCTCCCTGATTAAAAATCTTACATCAGCACTTTAAACTCCTTTTTCAAGAGAACTCCCTAGATACCACAGAAAGAAAAAATAATTCCAAACAAATGAAAAGAGATTTATGACAGGAAAGAAAAACTTAAAACTAATGGCAACAATCATAGTACAAGGGAGAAAGAAAGTAAAACTACCCTGTTACCCTGAAAATAAGATCTCCCCGGATAATAAGGCCAATTGGGCTTTTGAGCGCATGTGCTAAAATAAGCCCTCCACCAAAAATATTGCAACACAGCAACAGGTCACCATAAGGTGACCATGCTCACTGCCTCCTGCACCTCAAAGAAATAAAGAAAAATAAAGAAAATAAGACCTCCCCAAAAATAAGGCTAAGTGCTTATTTCGGGAGTCAAAAGAAAATAAGACCCTGTCTTATTTTTGGGGAAACATGATATATGTAAAGAGGAAAGGAAATGTATCATATCCTAGCAAAAATCAAGAGAAATTATATTCCATTTCATTTACTTTGCCTGCCCTAAAGTGGAAACATCCTTCTGAAGTTAAAGGAAGGTCTCATTCTGGGACACACAAAGGAAGAAGGAATAGAATTTCCAAGACGGTGCTGATTCAGACTCAGAAGCAGGTAAGAATAGCCAGGCTGAATCAGGCCAAAGCCCTTCCAATCAAGCATTCTGATGTGCGCACTCGACCCATCAGGCCCATACTAATGGGAAATCCACAAGCAGGATTGCATTAGCACCTTCCAATTGATGTTTCTACCAACTGATACTGATAGAGACATAGGGCCTCATAATACACAATCATCATCATTATCCATGGAATTGTTTAAAAAATTTTTTTAAGTTTTTCAAACTGGGAACTCTCCCATGGTTTGTGGTAGAGAATTCTGTAGTTTAACTGCACACTTCTTCGAGCGACTTCTTTTTTCTGTCTAAATCTCAAAGTATTCAGCTTTGGGGTGGGAAGAATTCTAATATTAGGAGAACAACAAAAATCTCTATTTAATCTTTTTATACTGTGTCTAACTTCATATGTTCTGTCAAAAGCCTCTTCTTGCTTGAAATCTAAAATGGTGTAGCTTCTTTTCATTGGCGTTAATTCACTGAACCTTTCGACTGCTCTAATTCCATAATATCCTCCTGAAATGTCAGGACCAGAAATATAAACGGCATTCCAAGTATGGTCACATTGACAGGAGTAGATTAAGACATTGCAGCATTTGGCAGTGATGTTTTCAATTCCTTTCCCAATGAGCCTTAACACATAGTGGAATTCACTTTTTCACAGAAGTCATACATTGGATCAATGTTTCTGCCACAGCCTCAAGTTCGTCTTCCTGAGCAGATGGACATCCTTTCCCCCCAGCCACTGAAACAAAAAATGGATTGGGAGCCTTGGTGGTGCAGTGGCTAGAGTGCAGTACTGCAGGCTATTTCTGCTGCCTGCCAGCTGCCTGCAATTTGGCAGTTCAAATCCCACCAGGCACAAGGTTGACTCAGCCTTCCAAATGAGGACCCAAGTTGGGGGCAATATGCTGACTCTGTAAAACTGCTTAGAGAGCACTGTAAAGTACTGTAAAGAGGTATATTAGTCTAAGTGCTATAGGCCGATCTTTATACATGTTCTTACTTACAAGGAACCTGCTTGGTCTTCCAGCTGGAGACTCCTTTCTTTGTCTCTTTTTCTTTTAACCATTCAAAATAAGTTAGTCAAGTCAACAAACCTGGCAAACGTGATTACTCGCCTGTGAAATACCTACTTCAACAGATCAAAAGAATGAAGTCTTTAATTAGCTACCATCCCATCTAAAACCTGGCTTGTTTCTGTCCCTCTTGAGAGATGTAGTGACAGAGGGCCAGAGGTAGAAGGCACACATTCAGTAAGTTGACTTTATCTTGTACTCAGTCTCGGGTCTGTCTTCCACCCAAGCCAGAAGGGACATGTACAGCCATACCCACTGATATTATGTATCTGTTAATGGGCTTCCAGGAGCAAAAGATGCTGCTAACCAGTTTCCCTTATCAATAAAACAAAATGTTCATGTTTACCGAACAGAGACACCCTCACGACACTACCAAGCAGCAATTCGACTCTAAGTCCTTGTATCCTTAAGCCCCCCCCCCCATTTCCTCCTAGTTACGGAAGGATAAACATAAGCAAACCGCGGGAGTGGGGGGGGGGGAGGACAGTACCAGGATCGGGCCGCTCGCGCGGTGCCAGCCCCAATGCGGGAATAGTCAGCAGCAGCCCGTCGCCACCGCTACCACCAGCTGGCAGGAGGAGCGGGAAGGGCACGGAGTGAAGTCCGAACCGGGTGTAAGAAGGCGTCCCGCAGCCGCTCGCATCTGTTGCTGCTCCAAAGAAGGCATGAGATCGGCGGCCCTTTCCTCCACCCGCTCACAATCCCCGTGTGCCGGCTCTCCGCTCGGGATACAGGCAGGAGCGAGCTCGCCTTGGCTTCTTACCTGAAGCGACTCGTTAGCCATCTCCGCCTCTCGTTTCCCGCCAAGTCTCCGCTGGCTTCCTCCTCTTTCGCGTTGTTCCAGGGGAAGCGACTGCTCCCCGGGGCGCTCTTACAGCTACAGCCGATCCGCCATCCTCTCCGCCGCCGCTGGTCGGCGGGGCGTATAGGGAGCTGTTGAGCCCCACAAGGGGGCGGTCCAGCCACCCACAAACAAGCGGCGGCCGAGCGGACCAAAGGAAGGACGACTACGAGAGCTTCACTCAAAGGAGCAGCTTTTGCTCCGGCGGGCAGGCAGCTTGTCTGCAGTGGCTGCAGGAGCGGCGGTGGCGGCGGCGGCAGCTTCGTCTCTCCACGGCCTCCCAAACCTTCGGCCGGAGTGCTTGAGCGGCACAGAAATGCCCTCCCTTCTCCTGACCCGAGTACAGTGTGTGCCACTCACTCTTATTGTTGCTGCGGCGTCGGCCGCGCTGGCTCGTTCCCTCCCAGCGCTCAACTTGCCGGGCTGGTCACGTGGGCGGGGGAGCTGCGAGCGGAGTCGAGTCGAGGGAAGCGGTGGGGCGAGGACGAGGCGGAGAGACTATTGTGGCTGCGGGGAAGGGAGCTGACCGAGACACGGCTATATAGGCGCTGCACAGCTTTGCGGCTTGCTTGCCGCAGCTGCAAGAGCGGCAGCCGCGCGTTTTCTACGCCGCCGTCTTTCCTTTTTCGGAAAGGAAAACGAGAGATAAAAGCAGCAAAGGGAGGAAGGGCTCAGAGGAAGAAACTGGACCCCATGATTTTCCTGCGCTGTGCTTCGCAGAGCCTGGGCTTGGGGTGGGGGGAGTTCTTTTCTGTACTAAGGACAGGGCGGGGCTGCTTTGGACACTCGCTTTTGGAGAGGGAGGCCTGGCTTCCGTTTAGAGCAATGGTTCCCAACCTTTTTTTGGCCATGCCCCACCTAAGCATCTCTAAAACTCTGATGCCCTCCTCCCTGTGACATATAATTCTTACTTTACTCAAATAGTGAACTCTACTCATGGGGAGGAAGCCTAAAAGGCCATTAACTTGGTTTAAACAAGGTTCAAAATTGCCCCCATTAAAAATCAAATTGCTGCCCGTGGGACGCTCGTTGGGAAACACTGGTTTAGAGGCTCCCCCTCCAGGTGGATCAGATGCTGCTAGATTGGGGGGGAGGGATAGTGCAGTATTTTGGGAGCTACATTTCAATATTGCTGCTACTATCTAGCAGTTGTTCTTTATTCTACACATCCTTAGTAGAGGAGTTGCCACCTATCTTTTTGGAACACCTTTCCACTTCCTTTATCTAATTCTTTGGTTGTATTTTTTTAAAATCAAAAGTCTCTCAGAGTAACTCAAGGATATAGACAGTAGTGCAAAATGCAGCTGGAAAATGAATTATTGTGCCTGGAGAGCCCTGTTTATTTGAATCATTAGGCCACCCTTGATTTCTCCCAATTTTAGCCCGGTCATACCTACACTCCCCTCTCCAATCTTTTCTAAAATGGCCTTTTATTATTGAAAACTGTATAACAGTCATAAAGGGAGGTTTATAGCTGTATATAAGGAAATGTATCTATAAAGAAACGTTGAATTTATGAATACTTGGAACACTTAAGAGTAGCCCTACATCAGGGATGGCAAACCTTTTGGACACCAAGTGCCCAAACTGCACATATGCGAGCATGCAGTGCGCATGCACACACAACCACTCATGCGCAGCAGAGGCCTTCCTGGCTGGCAGGAAGCGGGGCATCACAACTCCGGTGAGATTTTTTTCCTTTCATGAGCTTCTGTTTCATTATTTGCAGAGAAACAAGCTCATGAAAGTGATCCAACGAAGTTCTGAGCTGGGACAACAGCGCACGTGCCAGCAGAGAGGGTTCTGCGTGCTAACTCTGGCACACGTGCCATAGGATTACCATCATGGCCCTCTATCCACTTTTCATCTGACAGACTCATTTGCTGGCTGGTTTTGACCTTCCTGGCGTTGTCTGGTCGAAATTGAACAGAATTACTGGAAGAAGTGCCTCTGCCCTTTATCAATGGGGATGGAAAGATTCCCCTTGTTGTGATTGTAGTGCTGATATGCAAAGTATTAAACATATTGTGCAAGATTACCCATGATGTGTTCTCTGGTTCCCTAGATCTAGAAGATCTACAATGAAGCAATACAGAGGTGGTCACCTGGATAGCTGAATTGGACAACCAGTTATGAGGCCACTGCCATAACCCCAAAGAAGTTTTATTTATAATTATATGGACTGTATATATATGTTTACTTCTGTCATGTTCTCATCATGCGCTAAATAATAATAATACACTGGCTAGGCCATGGCTATTTGTAGTAAGTGCTCCGTTGTCTCCTTGTCTTTCAAAACATTGGATCCTTTACTAAACATCCACCCAAATAATCCCAAACTTTAAAACTTCTCCAAATCCTTTTTTTTAGTTGTAATAATGATAATTATACTTAGTATGTGCTTGTAACAAGTGCAGTAAATGTAGATTAAAATTATGTACAATAGTAAACTAATTCATTATAATATAAATATTTCCTAATGATAGGAAATCTATACTATAAATCAGCAGTTCCCAAGCACCAGGGATTGGTTTTGTAGAAGATAATTTTTCCATAGACAAGAGGGGGGGGGATGGTTTCACATGCAACCAAGATCCTGTGCATGTGTAGATGTAGCCCAAATTTGCACAGCCCAGCTCCTTACAAGCCATGGACCAATACTGTTCTGCCGCCTAGTGGTGGGGTGTGGGGAATGTTATAAATTATAGTGAATAATGAAAAAGGCTTTTCTAGCTTCCTAGAATTCCTGCAAAAATGTGTGTGTGGGGGGGGGGGGGGCTTTTAAAACTTCAAGGGATGAGCCCTTATTTAAAGGAGATGATTCCAGGAATAGAAGCTAAATGGGAAAAGGCTCTAAAATATAATGTAATCAGTTTAAGTTGAAGCAAAACTAATCAACTTTGATTGCATGATTGAGCCAAGAATACGGGTTCATGAACTGTAATCAAGCTATTAAAATAATTTGCATTCAGTCAACACATATTTGTAGGATTACAACCTGCGCATATGTTAAATATGTTTCATTTTTGCATCAGCATTGTATATGACCAGATCCTTCCATTAATTAACATCCTACCTTGAAAACAAAAAGGCAGTGGTTAAATTTGACTCAAACGGACAGCCTGCCAGGAAACAAATTCCTAATCCGCAAACAAGTTTAGTCTTCATTTTTCATTCTGGTTTTATGATTAATATTTATAGTAATAATAGTTAACACCTTACAAATTATGCAAGGCTAATATGTTAGATCAGGGGTTAGGAACTATGGCCCTTTTATGACATGTGGACTTGAAGAATTCAGGAATTCTGGGAGTTGAAATAGACAAGTCATAAAGGGGCCATAGTTCCCCACCTCTGTTAGATGATTAACTTTTTTTTGTTTGCTTCTTGTAATTACAATAACCAGTTACAGCTGGGTTCTTGTTTAAATCATATGAGGCTTTTACTTTTTATTAATGAATGAATGTCTTACAGATAAGAAAATGGCAAAATGTAAATTCTTATTACCACTTGTCTCTACCACCATCAATAACTTTAAAAAACAACAACCAGTATATAAAATACAATTTTTGGGGGGGAAATACATTATTTGTTCCATCTCCTTGGTGAACTGATGTGATTCAACATTTGAAAGGGGGCTGATCCAAAAATCTGAGGCAAACCTATATTAATCACTAATGTAGATTTGAACAATAGGATTTGCCTAAAAGCATTTATATCAGTGTATTTGCCCATATTTATTGTCATATAATTGTACTGTATGATACAAGAATACATTTAAGTTCATATAACTTCTTATATACTATTAAGTTCACTCATAATTGTATATAAGGGCCTCTTCATTTTTAAAAAGAAAGTTGATAATTACCAAGGTTGTGGTCTAGCTTGGGAAATTGAAAAACGTTCCAGCAGAAGGTAATGGCAAACTAATAATATACAGTTGCCAAGAAAACTGCACAGATGTATGTATCCACTGAGTCATTAAGTTCAACTTGAAAGAAGCATAAGGAAGTTATCAAAACCTTTGTCATAAGCACAGAACCAAGTTTCTTAGCACACTGTCTCAAAACTATGCTGATCTTCAGGATTTTCTATAAATAGATAATTCAAGCAACACATTTGCTATGAATTATTTTGGTACACTCATACTGTGAAGGTTTCACGTCTTTTGAAAAGTCACCTGCATTTCAGTGGAAGTTTCAACTACTAGAACATTGTCTTCTACTTGAACTATTAGAAAACAAATGAATTATATGGAGTCTGCCAATGTACTCTATATATGCAAACAAGAATCTAAATATGTACATTTTTATAGCAAAAAATAAATATAATAACTGCAGAATAAAATAGCTGTAAAATGTTTGATAACATTATACAACGTATCTCAAAAATTGTTTTGAAACAAAATTGAAAAATTGTTTACATCAACCTTTCAAATATGGACAGAAGTAACTCATCCACGTTGTATGGATAAATACATATTTATTTCATGGTATTTATATCTGATCTCTTTTGTGCTACCTTCACATTGTTTTCAGATTAGGTAACAGCTATTACCCCTACAATTAAAACTGGTAATTGCCCTGAAAGTTCTAAGCCACTTGGAATAATTTTATCTTGCTTTCTTTTACATGTATTTCATTCATCACCTGTTGTCTTTCCCTTTTACCTCTAAAAGTATCTTTGAGATACGGAATCAAACTGCTCGGTATTATGCTCATGGAACTCTTCCAAAAGTTTAATTGCTTCCCTCCTGTTTCAGGAGAGTGGCAAAATAAAATAATTTCCCTGATCTTAAATCTGTTTTATAATCTTTTTGATCTGATGTATTTTTTTTAAACTAATCCAATTATTTTCACCTTTCTTGTTTCGCTGTTTTAATTTCTGTTTCTTATTCTACAAATTATCTTGGGACTGAAAGCAGGAAGGGAAATGTGTAAAATAAACACAATCATATGCATAGCATTCTGACTCAATTAAAATTTCTGAACTGTTCAGAAGCACATTAGAAATATAACAATAACTTCAACAAAGGTAACTATAGAATGAATAATGCTGTATTCCAGTTTTAATTTTGACAAGTAAAGAGGCAGCTATTACGTTAGAAAAAACAGCTAAAACAGCAGAGGCTTTTGATAATGCATAGAGAACAAAGCCAAATTCAGGAGTACCTCAAGCTCTACTCCAAGTATACTGCTTTGAGGAGACAGCAATTCTTGAACATATATTAAAATACATGGCTCTACCCAGTGAATCAATTTTCCCAACCAATAGTAACACTCTGAGCCAAGGTGGCGCAGTGGTTAAATGCAGCACTGCAGGCTACTGCTAGATCAGCAGGTCAGCGGTTCAAATCTCACCGGCTCAGGGTTGACTCAGCCTTCCATCCTT